TACACAGCATTCAGTTGGTCCATCCTTGATATTCCGTCGATATTGTTCCCTCGCAGTGGCTCGGTTCCTTTGGCGTTGGCGTTCCCGTTGATCCTGTCTTTCATCCATGGAAAGTTCGGCTCTAGAAGCAATATTCCGCTGAGACTGCCTTGCAGATTCAGCCTGGCGATTTTGGGAAATAGACCTGTATGTGAGGAGCCGCTCCTCAGCCATTTCCTGAATTTGCTGCTCCCGAAGTCTCCTCTGAAGTCTGGTGTTCCGATGATGCATTGTGTTCCTTTGTTGTTCCCGTGCCCGAGTTATTGGGTTGTTCCTCGTGATTCTGTGGACCTCGGCGTCTCGTGCTCTCTCGGCCCTCCTATTTTCCTCTTGTGCCCTCCGGTTAGAGCGAGAGAGGGTGTTTTGAACCTGTTGTCGTCGTCGCTCCTCCGAGTCCTGTCTGGCGAGTGCATGCGCTGCAGCATCCCGTGCACGTTCTGGCCCGCGGTTTTCCTCGAGCGATCTCCAGGTAGCCCGAGCCGCAGTATCCTGCGACTGCTGTCGTCGTCGCTCCTCAGAGTTCTGTCTGGCGAGTGCATGCGCTGCAGCATCCCGTGCACGTTCTGGCCCGCGGTTTTCCTCTAGCGATCTCCAGGTAGCGTGATCCGCAGTATTTTGCGACTGCTGTCGTCGTCGCTCCTCAGAGTTCTGCCTGGCGAGTGCATGCGCTGCAGCATCCCGTGAACGTTCTGGCCCGCGGTTTTCCTCGAGCGATCTCCAGGTAGCGTGATCCGCAGTATTTTGCGACTGCTGTCGTCGTCGCTCCTCCGAGTCCTGTCTGGCGAGTGCATGCGCTGCAGCATCCCGTGCACGTTCTGGCCCGCGGTTTTCCTCGAGCGATCTCCAGGTAGCCCGAGCCGCTGTATCCTGCGACTGCTGTCGTCGTCGCTCCTCAGAGTTCTGCCTGGCGAGTGCATGCGCTGCAGCATCCCGTGCACGTTCTGGCCCGCGGTTTTCCTCGAGCGATCTCCAGGTAGCGTGATCCGCAGTATTTTGCGACTGCTGTCGTCGTCGCTCCTCAGAGTTCTGCCTGGCGAGTGCATGCGCTGCAGCATCCCGTGCACGTTCTGGCCCGCGGTTTTCCTCGAGCGATCTCCAGGTAGCGTGATCCGCAGTATTTTGCGACTGCTGTCGTCGTCGCTCCTCAGAGTTCTGCCTGGCGAGTGCATGCGCTGCAGCATCCCGTGCACGTTCTGGACCGCGGTTTTCCTCGAGCGATCTCCAGGTAGCCCGAGCCGCAGTATCCTGCGACTGCTGTCGTCGTCGCTCCTCAGAGTTCTGCCTGGCGAGTGCATGAGATGCTGCATCATTTAATCGTTCCCGCGCTCGGACTCGTTCACTACGCCTTCTCTGAGAGCGTACTGCGGTATCTCGAGCGCGAGCCTCCTGTGCAACCTCCGGATTCACTGAGCGGACAAAGGCATTGTGCTCGGCATTTCGGGCTCTAATTTGCGTAGCATTTCGAGCGTATTGAGCGCGACTTCTCCTAAGTGCGGCTTGGCGACGCTGCTCCTGAGATAAAGAAGATGTGCGTGGCATTTTCTTTTCGTTCCTGTTAAAAAATGGTTAGATAATATGGTTAAATGTATGTTTCTAAAATCTGAAATGTATTAAGATCGATTTTGTGCTCCGGGCCTCCATGTCCTTACTTAATATTGTTCTCATTATATTTCGATTTCCACCGTAGATTCTTTTAGGGGGTTCAGCTTGTGAGATTTAAAACGCCGCTATAAACTTAACGGCGTTTTAAAACTCAAACAAACTATACGCTGAAAAAGCTAATCCCTCTAACGATGGTATCCACAGGAAATCGAAATATATTGAGGCAAATTTTTCAAAACATGCCCAAACCAAAACTTGCTAAAATTGTGGCCAAATTTAACAATTTAAAAACAAAATGTATAACTTACCAAAAATAGTTGTACACTTTTATATATATAGAGATATATATATACACACACACACACACACTATTTGTCTTTACACTGATTAAAAGTATACATTCACACAATATAAAAATACTCGATGCACTGGTATATGTTGTCACTGTCACTGTCGTGATAATACTAATCCGCGGATTATAAATGTGCGCAAATAAATAGGCACCTTATATTACCTGTTAACAACCTTTAGGGTTAACCCTTTTGACTCTACTTCAGGTATATATCAGGTAATACGATTGGTTATGCAATTGTGCAACATTGAACACGTGTTATGTTGCTAACAGGTATCAAATTATGATTTAAGGGTTATGCGAGGGCTGCATTTATACCTGATACCTGTTTGCTTATGCAATTGTGCAACATTGATCACGTGTTATGTTGCTAACAGGTATCAGGTTATGATTTAAGGGTTATGCGAGCGCTGCATTTATACCTGACACCAACTTCAGCATGTATCCCTCGAATGTTACCGTTTCTTAACTTAATAACAGGTGACAGATATATGTATATCGGGTCTGAAATATTAACCTTTGCGATAACCTTTTAATTTTATTGGAGAGTCTGCAATTCAGCAGAGGCTAAGAGAAGTCAATTGCCAATTGCAGAATTGGTCAGATATATCTTACATCAGCTATATATGTAAATTCAAAACATATTAGTAATATAAAAAATGTGAAGCCCATATATGAAATACTAAAAAAGTATTAATTTATATTCAAAATATTAATACGCCCTTTATAAAATATAGTTGTCGGATTTTCATAATATCAATATTAAAATTTTAGAATCCTAAAAATGCCATACTCGAAGAATGTGAAATATGTTGATAATTGTCGAAGTTCGACTTTTTTCTTGTAATTCTTCGATCGTTCCTATGGCAGCTATAATATATAGTCGTCCGATTTTCATAAAACTAAATATTACATTTTAAAATAATACAAAATGGCCATATCTCAAAAAAGATAAATATTCGTTGAAAAACAAAGAAGTTATAATTTTTTTCTATATATAGTTGTTGATATAGTTGTCCGATTTTCATAAAATTAAATATGAAATTATAAAATAATACAAGATGACACTATCTCAAAAAAGATAAAAATTCGTTGAAAAACAAAGATGTTGTAATTTTTTTTCTATTAATTTCCGGATCGTTCCTATGGCAGCTATATGATATAGTCGTCCGATATTCATAAAATTTTTACCAAAATTCAGGAATAATATAAAATGGTCATATTTAAAAAATAGTGCAAATATGTTGAAAAACAGCAAAGTTATAATTTTTTTTCTAAAAATTTATCAAACATTTGTATGGCAGCTATATGATATAGTCGTCCGATCCGGCCCGTTCCGACATATATAGCAGTGAGAGCATATAGAAGACTATATGCAAAGTTTCATTCAGATAGCTTTAAAACTGAGGGACTAGTTTGCGTAGAAACAGACAGACAGACAGACGGACAGACGGACAGACAGACAGACGGACAGACGGACAGACAGACAGACGGACAGACGGACATGGCTAGATCGACTCGGCTGTTGATGCTGATCAAGAATATATATACTTTATAGGGTCGGAAACGTCTCCTTCACTGCGTTGCAAACTTCTGACTGAAATTATAATACCCTGCAAGGGTATAAAAAGAGGAGGACACAAAAAAAAGGTCCGCGACCGCATCTACCGCTCAGCGCCCGCCTTGGCCCTGGCATCCGCTTTCAGATCCACCGCATCCACCTCCACGTCCGCAGCAGTGACAGCAATTTGAGCGACAGTCAGTTGATGACTGTGTTGACAGAAGCGGGGGGAGCGGGCACAGCTCCAATCTCCGATACGAACCGGATGCGAAAGGGCAGGCCATCGTTTCCACGGCCACAGACACACGCCGGAGTCCTCCAGCGCTTTCCTCTGTGTCCTGTGCGATATTAACCCTATTTTTGTCGTAAATTAATTACGAGGCAGCAGATGGAGGCGGGACAGCAGGAGGAAGAAGCTCCGAGCTTCGAGCTCCGGAGCTTCAGAGAACCGAAATAGGCACGCACAATTTTTATGAAATTTAATATTGAGCGGTCAAAGGGAAACGGAAAAGATAGAAGGTCTTTATGGCTTGTGGATGAAGATATAATCTTAATAGTTTGGGTCCCTGATAGTGAGCCCCAATCGTGGATGTGTTCTTTATCTGGTGATTAATATGCATCATGGGGTAAGCAGAGTCGTGAAAAGTAAGGGTTTTCTTGGGAAATTTGGGCAGCATTTTCTCTACAAAAATGTGTTTTAATCTTTAAATTATTGTTTGAGCTTATGGAGATGTAATATAAGGTTGTCTTTATTTTTGCTGACTTTATTTATTTGTTTTATTAGACAATTTTTCGTGTTTTAATACATATTATATTTCAATATTCTTTATTCCTCTCATTATGAATTATGTTCTAAAGGTTGGGCCCCATTTATTTTATTTTTTTCCCTGTTTATTTTCAATTCAGGACTGTCAGGACTAAGTAGTTGGTTTTCTTGCAAGGATCCCCGCCTTTTGGCCTGCGCACTCCCCTAATTCCCGACAATATATCATCGGTTCCTGCGACTTCCGGTTGTCGCTTTTGGCATTTGCCAGTCCCACTGTCTATTTATAGGCGCCGCTCACGCAGACACAACCAAATACACCACCAAATACACCCACACTGCAAGGAAAATTGAAAAAAGTAAATTATGTGTATATTTTTTTGTTGTGTTTTATTTCCTTTCCGCTCGGACTTATGGCGGCTTTTGTGTGTAGGGTATGGGTAGGGACTCCTACTCCACGTGCAATTTCTCAACACACCTCTCACTGCTCACTTATTTCTTTTCCATTTCCTGCCTTATGGTATCCTTACACATAATACACAGGTGCGGAAAGGATAATAGGTATTAAAATAAGAAAGTTATTGCTTTTATTTGGGGCTTAGGTTGTGTTGGGATGTATTAAAAAACCATCAGATGCAAAAATCAAGTTTTAAAATGTATTTTGAAAAATATTTAAAATTAAATTTAATTGAAAAATGCTACAAACTCACAGAAACTTTTATTTTAAAATACTCTAAAACAAGGAACAATATTTATAAAGTTTGTTGACATCTAAAATTCACAATTTCAGTCTAAAAACTCTCTTAAATACTTATTTTTCCAACATAATAGTTACTTTCACAGTGTCTACTATTAGTTGACCGCAACTGTGGCCGTGGAATTGTGGGGAATTTATTTAATTTTTATTGGATTTTTCTGTGCCGGGCCACGCTGGCTGCTGTGCGGCGGCATCGTTAGGCGTGGCATAATTCATTATGTTGACTCACCACGCCCACACTCCCACACTGATCCTGTCCTGTCACCACCCTCTACTAATGACGTGCTGCGTGCCTTGCATATTAATGCATAATGGTGGCTGCATGCATTCCATACGCCGTTCGGCTCGATTTGCGATTTAAAGGGACTTCTTTATTTTCTGATTCTTGCTTGAGAGTAATGAGTCCTTTTCAAGGATACACTCTCTGTTACTAACACATGGCCAAGACGGCTTTCCAAGAGGAATAATAACGCTGCAAATATCAAAGATTGAAATAGGTAGAGACAAATAAAACAAATCAGTTCATTAAATTTAAAATTTAAAGAAATCAAAATGTTTACCAACTACTCAGAATTATAAACTTAAAAAAAAGATTACTAAAAATTAGTTTCTTTTATAAATGGCTAGAAAGATTTGCAATTGGATGTTGATCAAGAACATATATGATTTTTGGGATCGGAATTGCTTATCATATGCTTATAAAATATTTACCATAATTCGGAAGTTATTTATTTAAATTTTAAGTAGCCTAACCAAAGTTATATCCTATGTAAATATTAGACTCAAGTTTACTGGTGCTACTCCTGCATAATTTCCCGGAAATTGAATTCACTATGAACTGCTGTAATTGCTGGCCGGCGATCTTCCAGCTCGTTGCTTAACCAAACTAAAGCTATCTGCAGCTTGCCTCCTAGGACACATATCTGGTGATATCTGCACTCCCCCGACTCTATATTTCCATTTCCAACTGGGCCAACTTTTGCCTTTAGGCCAGAGAGAAAAGAACTTTTCCCGCAGCGCAGAACGCAAAAGTTTGCCCAAACATGTCGCCTGGACATGAAGTTGCGGGGATGAAAATGGGTTTTATTTTTTTCTTCTGGGGAATGGAACTGCTGGTGGACGAAGGAGGTTGGAAGGAAGTTGGGTAAAATTTTTGGGAGGAGCATTTCTAAGCAAAACGTTTAATATTCACGCCTGAGCGCACTTCCAGCGCTCACTCGGAGAGGGGACGGCATGGAAATGTGTGAACTGTTTGACGCTTATCTATATGCCTCCTTTGGCTTGGCGTTTTGACCGAAATTTTATTGCCCGTTTCCAGGCCAAACGCTGGCCCATTCCCACTCTCACTCCTTCATCCTCTATTCCGTTTTCTGCTCAACTGATTCCGGGCTTCCTAATGTACCGGAGCTGCTGTTATGCAACAGCTCTCTCTCTCTCTCACTGGGAACAATTAGCCACCGCCCACGAATGTCCAGGAAGGATGCCGTGTTGCTTGTGATGGGCTAAAGATTATGTTAAGTTCATTACTGGCTCGTATACTACTCGTCATATTAATCATACGCCATGTTGTGCGCACAAGCGGCGCTAATGAAGCCGTCCCCCGTCCCCGTCAACTAATGTCAAGCATTTAAGGCACTTTAAATGCAATTTCAAATTACTAGTGAAACGGCGCTTGTTTACATACCCGACAACATCCTGCCCCCAGGATAACCCCCAACCCGTTATCCGGCTCTCAAGCTCGGACTCGACTCTCGCACTCGGACGCGATTCCTCTTTAGTGTCCGTGCTGCGTTCGTGATTTCCATTCCATGGCTTGGCTTGCAGCCATCATTCAACTTTCATGCGGACATTTGCTCTGACCCAGCTCCGCTTACCTCTCCTCCACCCAGCCTTAAGTGTGTGGGAGTGGCCTGGGAAACAGAAGGAGCTCCTCCAAGGGTCAGTCTCGGTTGCTGTCTCGGTTCTCCATTTCACAGTAGTTCACTTGCTGCTCCCTTAACACAGCACTTCAGATCCTTAAATAGTTTTAATAGTTTGGAATAACCTTTACCCAACGTTGGGGTAATTTTTTTCTTTTACCAACTATTTTTTTTTTACTTTCAGATATCTAATAGGTTTTGGATTTTACTAAATAAAATCTTAGTTGGGTCTTATTTTCTGGGTATAATTATAACCGTTCTGTCGGTATTTGTTTCTTAAATAATTTTTTGGCTTAGTGAAACAAATTGTGTTATTATAACATTTTTAAATCCGAGCCAAATTGAATTAGTCAACGTATTTAACAGATTCTGTATAAAAGGTGGCTTTTTTCTAGTTTTTTCTAAAGAAACTTTAAATCAGAAATCATCTATCGAAAAATGGAACTTGTTAAGAGAACCTTCTATCTTCTCGCAGCTATATTGTTTTCAAACATTGCAGTGCTAAATGCATGGTGTTGTACGGCACTGACTCCTTCATGTTTGAAATGTCATGCAAACCTTGGATGGGGGATTCCCTGGTGGTAAGCTTCCTGATATCCTGGGGGCTGAAATTTGATGCACTTTTGTTAACCTAAAAAAGAATTTTCTAAGAAATATGAACTTGTGAAATTTGTACACCTGAATCTTTTAAATAAATGACAAGCCAAAATGACGTTGAGCTCGTTCTCATAAACTATTGATCTTACTGTGTTAGTTCGTTCTATAATCCCATTACTGCGATGCAGTGGAACGAATTAAGCTATTTCTAAATTCCTTAAATGTTGTAAAGGCCGTCGAAAATGAATTAGTCAATGCCTAAATTCCTTAAATGTAGTATAAGACGTCGAAAATGAATTAGTCAACGTTGTTAAAAATTTTTTATAAAAGGCGACTTATTTTCAAGTTACTACATAACATTTGAGATTGGATGAACTTCAAAGAAAACTTGTTTTAGAAAGCAGCTATCGGAAAATGGAACTTTTTAAAGGAACCTGCTGTCTTCTGGCCGCTATTATATTTTCCAACATTTCATTGCTAAATGCGAGTCGGTATCAACACCCTCCTCTATTGGTTACTTTTAAAGACTGAGGAACAAAAATTTGTTGGATTTTTGATATCCTGACAAGTGTTTCTTATAAAATATAGATTTGTAAATATTTACAAACGAATCTTCGGAACTATTAATCTCTCTGTGTTCTTATTTAAAATATTCTTCTATCTTTTGGGGGCCATAATGTTTTCAAACATTGATTACCTAAATGCAAAATGTTGTTATGACTTAAAATGTCATGCAGACCTAGTAACTGGGATTCCCTGGTAAGCGCCCTTTTGGCAAACACCTGATATTAATCCAGAAGGCGGAAATTTAATGAATATTTGGTAACTTGAAAAGTATTTCTTAAGCAATATGAATTTGAGATATATTTACACCTGAATCTTATAAATAAATGCCAACCCAGAATGGCCTTGAGCTCCCCCTCCGTAATTAATGAGTTTTCTGTGTTTTTATTTAAATTAAATTAAGGCCGTCGAAAATGAATTCGTCAACGTTGTTAAAATTTATGTATAAAAGGTGACGTACTTTCAAGTTACTATATTACATCTACACCTGGAGGAACTTGTTCTCAGAGAATCAGCTATCGGAAAATGGAATTTATTAAAGAAACCTTCCTTCTATTGGCGGCTATATTGCTGGCAAGCAATGATTTGCCAAATGCAAAGTGTTGTAGTGAATATGCGCCATGGTATTACGGATAAGGATAAGAAGGAACCTTCTATATATCGGCGGCTATAATGCTTTAAAAAACTGCATCACTGAATACAAAGTGTTGTAAAGTATATCTGCCCTTATGTTAAACCTTAGGGCAGAAATTTGTTGAATTTTTGGTAACCTGCACATTGTTTCTTAAAAAATAAAGATTTTTAAAATATGTACACAGGAATCTTGGGAACTATTCATCTCTCTGTGTTCTTATTTAAAATATTCTTCTATCTCTTATCTTCTGGCGGCTATGTTTTTAAACATTGTTGCAAAGTTGCATTGCAAAGTGTTGTTATGACTTAAAATGTCATGCAGACCTAGGAACTGGGATTTCCTGGTGGTAAGCGTCCTTTTGGCGAACACCTGATATTAATCCTGAAGGCGGAAATTTAATGAATATTTGGTAACTTAAAAAGTATTTCTTAAGCAATATGAATTTGTGATATATTCACACCTGAATCTTAAAAATAAATGCCAACCCAGTATGGCGTTGAGCTCCCCCTCCGTAACTATTGACCTTTCTGTGCTCTTATTTAAATTTCCGTTTTAGTTCATACTATAATACCATCACTGGGATTAAGTAAAACGAAGTAAGATATTCTTAAATTAAATAAAGGCCGTCGAAAATGAATTAGTCAACGTTGTTAAAACTTTTGTATAAAAGGTGACATACTTTACAGTTACTATATTACATCCACACCTGGAGGAACTTGTTCGCAGAGAATCAGCTAGCGGAAAATGGAGTTTATTACAAAAACCTTCCTTCTTTTGGCGGCTATATTGCTGGCAAACAATGCATTGTCAAATGCACAGTGTTGTGAAGAATATCCTCCATGGTATATGAGATCAGGATAAGAAGAAACCCTCTACATTTCGGCGGCTATAATGCTTTCAAAAATTGCATCGCTAAATACAAAGTGTTGTAATGTATATCTGCCGTCATGTTAAACCTGAGGGCAGAAATTAGTATAATTTTTGGTATCCTGAAAATAGTTTCTTAAAATATAAAGATTTGTGAAATATTTAAACCTGAAGTTTTTAAATAAATGCCAATCCAGAATGGTGTTGAGCTCTCCCTCCGGAATTACTGATCCTATTGTGTTCTAATTTTAAACCTCAAATTAGTTCGTACTATAATACCATTACTGGGATTAATCATGTTTGAAATCGATACTAGCAAGAAAGAAATTAATGAATCATAAAATAAAACGCAATGAAAAGATCTATTTGTATATTCTATACTGCTTTCACAATTCGTTAATCATTTTAAACAATGATATTTAACCTTTAAAAAATATTGCTAAGACACTGGATTTAGTGAAACGAATTACGTTATTCTTAAATTGTTAAATTTGTGATTAGAGCCGTTGAAAATGAACTAGTCAACGTTGTCAAACAAATTTTGTATAAAAGGCTACCGATTTTAAAGTTAATGCATCACATCTGGAGGAACCTCAAAGGAAACTTGTTCTCAGAAACCAGCTAACGGAAAATGGAACTTTTTAAAGGAACCTTTTATCTTCTGGCGGCTATATTGCTGTCAAACATTGAATTTCTAAATGCTGAAGCAAGATTTTGTTGCCTGGGATTTAGTCCTGAATGTATGAAATGTCGTGCGCCTGGTGCCTAATGAACCTGGTAGCCGGAAAAATAATCAGCAATATGGATTTCTGCGAAATTTCCATCTGAGTCTGAACAATAAACGCTATTCCGAAAAAGCTTAGGCACGATCTCAAAAATGTTTTTTAATTTGAGTGAATACTGTAATGTACGGTTCCTTTGTTTTTGTTTCTTGTTGTAACAAGGTGCTGTTTTTTCTACTTGTTCGATCAACTCCCTTTAAGCCATCAATATTAGTTGTATAGTTCACACAGTTTGTTTTTATTGACGCCAAAAAGTTGTCCGTCTTGGCCTCGTTTTTTTGTATACTTTTTGTGCTTACTGTGCTGGTGCCGGAGAAGCAGAACAGTGACCATCTTGGGCCCGACGAACCATCAACGGAAGTGCTCGTCGCCATTTTTAGTGCACTTCTTGAAAGTGCGCACATTTCCGCTTGGCATCAATGATTCGGTTTGAGTTGGACTCGGTGTCGGACTCGTCGATCTGCCGCCCGCTTCGAATTATTTTCCATCCAGTTTTTCCTCCCAACTTTCCACCCATTTTCTGGCCATTTCTATCTTCCTCGGCTCTGTTTTGGCTTCACTTTTGCTGATGATTTTAATTTTGGTGAAAGTTGTCACATTTGATTTTTGGCAATTGTTCGTTCGTTCGGTTTTATGTGCGCGCTAGTCTCCGCTTTATTCTGTTTTCCTTTTTTTATGGCGCTTTTTATGTGGTGCCAGGCCAGGCCAAATCGATGCTGGCCCCGGGCTCATCCGGGAAATGGAATAAAATGATGCCTGTTGCTCTGAATGTTTCTTAAAACAATGCCTTTGGCCGGGGATTAAGGAAGTGCGAGAAAAGTTTGGCAAAGTCTAAGGAATCATTGGAAGAGAAGGAGCGAAACAGCAAGAGAAACTAATTAGTCTGGCTCGTAATTTATGTGTTGGTATTGCAAGGATTTAATTTAGATTTGGATTTTGGAATGGGAAAAAACCATGGGATGGAATGTCAAAAATTATAGGGACTATAAGAGGTTTATAAAATAGTTTAGGTGAGCTTATAAAGGGATTTTATAATAATATTGTAATATATTTTATTAATAATAATTTCAATATTTGTAGATATTATAAGGTGTTCTCTATATTTTGTTTTTTGTTAAAATCCGTTTTTGTTTAAAGGAAAAATAAATTAATAAGAGGCAGAAATATATTTTGAAATACACATCAATTAACTTTTTAGGCTTATTGAAAACAATTTATTATTACAAAACCATATTTCAAGCACCGAATATAATAATATACAAAGTCAGCAAAATCAAATCATAAATTTACACACCTTTCTGCTTTGGCCACATTTGATTATCGCCCCATAAATCAGGCATCCGCCTTCGGGCCAATGTTCCAAAGGCTGCCAATATTGTTATTAAATTATTTTCACACATGTCCAAAGGCAGCGCACATACCACTCGCTGGTACATACTAAGTATATATTCCTTTGTCACACAATCTGCAAATTTAATCTTGACAAGCAAACTGTGGATCGTTTGCCCTGCACTTAAAATTAAGCAAATTTGTTTACTCTTACCTCGATGGCAATCTCTGCCATTGATATTGGGGGTCATCGAGTCCTTCATTGTCCTGCCTAATAGCCACGTATCGTTCGCAGAGAGCGAGTTATTTATGTCCTGGCATATCTTATGCAATTAAATATGGCCTTTAAGTCTTGGGGCCCTGAAGCAGCCATTGCCATGGTTGTCAGCCTCAAACGACAACAGCCGAGAGTGTCGGGGGAAAGTGGAAAATGCGGAAAAGGACTTTCCCCCGTGATTCGTTTTCCTCCTTCCACGGTTTTCCATGTTCTGTTGCCGCTTGACTGCACTTTAGATACACATATTGGATGCATGTTGTACACAGAGCTACGCTACGCCCGGAACAGTGGGCAGGCAGGCAGGAGCCGGAGCCGGAGCGCCCCAGGATGGATCTGGCGAGGGACAGGACATTGCACAAGTGGAATAAATCGAAATAAAATCAAGTGAAATTTGAACTTTTGTGTGTTAGAGAGCAGAGCGATTGGAGGGCAGCGACGAGGCGAAAATGGAAAAAGCGTTGTTTGTAAATAGCAATCGAAACATCAATCGGAGCGTCACTTTTTTCACGCTCTTTCAAGCGAAATAAACAGGAAAATGTGGCCAAATTTTTGTTGGCACTCTAACAGACAGTGGGGAGTCTTTGGATAATTGAAGAATTAGTATTAAGGAATTTCAGAATATTTTCTTTTAGGTTTAAGCATAGAAAATAGGGCTTATAATTATTATAATTATTATAAAATACAAAAAAATAATATAGTAAATGTTTTCTATAATGAAATCTGTTTTAATTTTTCATATTTTCTGAAATACCATCATCAAGCACATAG